ATCAGGTGAATCAGGGTCACAGTACACTGACACAATCAGGTGAATCAGGGCCACAGTACACTGACACAATCAGGTGAATCAGGGTCACAGTACACTGACACAATCAGGTGAATCAGGGTCACAGTACACTGTCACAATCAGGTGAATCAGGGACACAGTACACTGACACAATCAGGTGAATCAGGGCCACAGTACACTGTCACAATCAGGTAAATGAGGGTCACAATACACTGTCACAATCAGGTGAATCAGGGCCACACTACACTGTCACAATCAGGTGAATCAGGGTCACACTACACTGTCACAATCAGGTGAATCAGGGTCACAGTACACTGACACAATCAGGTGACTAAAGGCCATAGTACACTGCCACAATCAGATGAATCAGGGTCACACTACACTGACACAATCAGGTGAATGAGAGGGTCACAGTACACTGACACAATCAGGTGAATCAGGGTCACAGTACACTGACACAATCAGGTGAATCAGGGTCACAGTACACTGACACAATCAGGTGAATGAGAGGGTCACAGTACACTGACACAATCAGGTGAATCAGGGTCACACTACACTGACACAATCAGGTGAATGAGAGGGTCACACTACACTGACACAATCAGGTGAATCAGGGTCACAGTACACTGTCACAATCAGGTGACTAAAGGCCACAGTACACTGTCACAATCAGGTGAATCAGGGTCACAGTACACTGACACAATCAGGTGACTAAAGGCCACACTACACTGACACAATCAGGTGAATCAGGGACACAGTGCACTGTCACAATCAGGTGACTAAAGGCCACACTACACTGACACAATCAGGTGAATCAGGGTCACAGTACACTGACACAATCAGGTGAATCAGGGTCACAGTACACTGACACAATCAGGTGAATCAGGGTCACACTACACTGACACAATCAGGTGAATCAGGGTCACAGTACACTGTCACAATCAGGTGAATCAGGGTCACAGTACACTGTCACAATCAGGTGACTAAAGGCCACAGCATACTGACACAATCAGGTGAATGAGAGGGTAACAGTACACTGACACAATCGGGTGAATAAGAGCCACAGTACACTGACACAATCAGGTGAATCAGGGCCATAGTGCACTGCCACAATCGGGTGAATGAGAGGGTCACAGTACACTGACACAATCAGGTGAATCAGGGTCACACTACACTGACACAATCAGGTGAATGAGAGGGTCACACTACACTGACACAATCAGGTGAATCAGGGTCACAGTACACTGTCACAATCAGGTGACTAAAGGCCACACTACACTGTCACAATCAGGTGAATCAGGGTCACAGTTCACTGACACAATCAGGTGACTAAAGGCCACACTACACTGACACAATCAGGTGAATCAGGGACACAGTGCACTGTCACAATCAGGTGACTAAAGGCCACACTACACTGACACAATCAGGTGAATCAGGGTCACAGTACACTGACACAATCAGGTGAATCAGGGTCACAGTACACTGACACAACCAGGTGAATCAGGGTCACAGTACACTGACACAATCAGGTGAATCAGGGTCACAGTACACTGTCACAATCAGGTGAATCAGGGTCACAGTACACTGTCACAATCAGGTGACTAAAGGCCACAGCATACTGACACAATCAGGTGAATGAGAGGGTAACAGTACACTGACACAATCAGGTGAATAAGAGCCACAGTACACTGACACAATCAGGTGAATCAGGGTCACAGTACACTGTCACAATCAGGTGAATCAGGGTCACAGTACACTGTCACAATCAGGTGACTAAAGGCCACAGCATACTGACACAATCAGGTGAATGAGAGGGTAACACTACACTGACACAATCAGGTGAATAAGAGCCACAGTACACTGACAAAATCAGGATTAATCAGGGATAAAAGTCATTTCTTACTTATTCTTTGCGTGGTACAATTTTATTTAAACTGAAAAATGGCAAAGCCTAATAGTATATTCTTTCAATATCGATAAATGTGTCAGAACTGTTTGGTAACTCGTGAACAAAGCATAAAAAAAATAGATTGTCGTGATCCATATAAAAGTACCACAAGGACTGCAGAAATTCAATGAGCTACATTTAAGCATAGCGGAGTTATGCCCCTTTTCTGTGTCCCGAATATTTCGATTTCACAGGGAAAAAGCAAATATCGCCATCGACTGTATACCTTTATACATAACAATACAAATGTATTACAAATACTGATATGTCGTTCATATAGAAGACCATATTTCGTCCGCTCACGATCTAAGTAAAGCTGTCAAATACAGGTTTCCGGAAAAGTGCCTTTGTCGGAATATGGAAGCGTATGAGTCTACAAAGTATATCATCTTCGTACATGATACTTTCATCTTCGAAGATAATACTTTAATCGCAGAAGGTACTTTCGTCAACGTATACGATACTATAATCTACTATCAAATTATCGAATTTTGTAACAATATTTTGTTGAGTAATCGACACTAGTTCCGTGTCAGTTATATATAACCGATTTGTTTGACTTTCAATCTGGATATGTCTTTCTGGAGGAATATCTAACTATTAAATACAGTAAATCTTCATTTAAATGTGTCGAAGTTACTAAAGTTACTGAAGTAGAAAATTTCATCCAAACTACAAACAAACAAACAAACAACTATAGGTCATTATGCAAAATCTTAGTGAAATTATATTTGGTTGGTTAGTTGGTTTGTTGTTTAACGCCGCACTCAGCAATATTCCAGCTATATGACGGCGGTCTGTTAATAATCGAGTCTGGACCAGACAATCCACTGATTAATATCATGAGCATCGATCCACGCATTTGGGATCGATGACATGCATCAACCAAGTCAACGAGCCTGACCACCCGATCCCGTTAGTCGCCTCTTATGACAAACATAGTCGCTTTTTACGGCAAGCGTGGTTTGCTGAAGACTTATTCTACCCCGCATCAACTATAGGTCATTATGCAAAATCTTAATGAAATTATATATCAACCATAACATGAGTTAGAACGGAGAAGTCACTCGAATATGACGATTCGCATGATTTCTCAATTACGGAAATTAGGTTTAACAGGTAAAACGTGAATATGAAGTGGGAGAATCACTCAAACTGTAAAAACTGTATCAAACCAATACTCGCCATCATCATCCTATGAAGCACTGAAGGCTCAATTCTGAAGTTTTAAGCACTGATAGTTTGTCAGTTTGAAATGATCTCATTATGTGGTAAAAATATGGAAAAGGCCAAATAAACAACCAATATGCTCCCAAACATTTAATTGAATTAACAATAATTAAGTAATTACTTTATTCAAAATATAAATGTTTGCATAATCTGGTATCCAAGCAACTTCACAGGACAGTATCACGTAACGATACGCACGATTATAATATCACAAACGTGAAATGAGTGAGTTAGGTTTAACGCCGCTTTTAACAGTATTCCAGTTATATCACGGCGTGTCAGCTTAATGTGGGAGGGAAGCCCAAAGTGATGGAGGTCTAAGGCGTTTACCACTTCGGTAAAACCCATGAACACGGGAATGGTGCTGCCAAACCTAGCAACATAATCGGGGCGAACCAGGATTCGAACCCACAATCATAGGTTTCTGGCGTGTCCAAGGGACGCAACTCTGCACAGCGAATCGCGGCGCCTTAGACGACTGGGCCACCCATGCCCCCCACAATCGTAGATGAAAGTATCATCTAGGTTGACAAAAGTATGATAGTTTGTTTAGACTGTGACACAAATACGCTTCAACAGGTGAGCGATTGAAGTGGCAAACTTTGTTGTGTGCTGGACACATTTTATAGCTGGAATTAATATTATACCACATGACAATAAAAAGTACATTCTGCGTCTCTGATAGTCAGAGGTAGATCCAGTGCCGCACGAACACAGTTCTCGCACAACTTTCAAGTTTCAAAACTGATAAAAATTTGCTTCGGAAAAATATCTCGTCAGCAAAACAGGGGCTAAATCCAAATCTAATAATAATAATAATAATAATAATAATTATAATAATAATAATGTGTACTTATATAATGCGCTAAACTCCTTACACAAGGTGTATGCTCAAGCGCCAACATTAATACCCCGATCAATGAAAAAGTGTAGACTCGATTTTTTCATTCTCACCTCCCTGGGGAGTATACAACCAAACCTGCCCGTGACATTTCGAACAAAGTCACATGCCCAAGGAGACACCACGTGTCTTAAATTGCATGTGCTTCAGTGTGGGGTAGGACCGAAGCCCTAGAATCTCTCAGAAGCGAAGCTGCCGAAAACGGTCACCCGCCCAACAATCTTCTCTGCGAACGACGTTGCTTCACTTCACCTGCACAGCACCGCGTGCTACCTTATGTCGACACAATATTTGACATAATCAGAGCAGATAATTAAACAAACACTACTGTGGGTATTCTAAGTGTTTTTCCCTCACAGCAAACACATAATAACAGAGAAACAATATATTTAGTGAACTTTGTAACATTTCTGTACACACGTCACATGCACACCGGTACATTCTATGTCCGCTTCAATCACTTTCATCCCATTTCTTCACCGACATCAAATGTGGCAATGTGGCGGCACAACTGCAATACTTTCAGCACAACACTATTCATGTGGGGATTTGAAACAATTATATTACAGAGAAGAAACGGACCATGTCAACAAATTCATGATTTGAAACAACTTTTCATGAATTTGTGCACTCAGTTGTTTGTTGTGCCATTTCCCAGAAATGTAGGAAATGTGTGATAAACTGATCGATTACCGCAGATTAATAATCATAACAATACTAATGTGAGGATGCAAAATGTTTCTCATACACAACAGAAACCAGTCAAGCAGAAAACAACCCATTTAGCTAACCTTGTTACATTCTTGTACATAACAAACAACACATAGACAGGTAACTTCTATGTCCGCCTCAATCAATACAATCACATTACTTTTGACAGTTTAAATAGACATGTCACACTTACAAGTTTACACAATGTCATGTTTATTTTATTTCCTATGTGAGGGCGTTATAAATAAGTGACTTCTTGGAGTCAGTCATGGTGATGTCCACCCCGCTGACCACCTTCATGTTGACTGTGTAGACGCCTGGCCACCCAACACTAAACACGGGGAGAAGAGACTCCCTCCACTCAACATCCAACTTGGCCAAAACAATCTCCCTGTCAAGATCGATGAAGCCGAGTCTCCCCCTCCCCACATCAAGCACAACGCCATAGTGGAGGGTGGCCTGTGTGCCGGGTGTGTCAGACATTGTGTTTCTGTAACACTCCCCTCGCTCCCCCTGCTGATACACCCTGGTACAGATACTCCCCCGGTGTGTGACACATCTCCATACACAGACACACCAGGAGCGGCGCTGTGCACGAACATAACAGTCACTGTCCACCTGGCTCTCCTCTACCACACCCATCTCCACGACAGGCCACCACGTCCTCCCACCCACCACACCCACCCTGGAGTGGGTCTCCCAGTATCGTGGTGTGTGTGGGACAGGGGTGACATTAGAGGGGTGTGGAGGAAGGGGGATGGGGGTGGAACTACAGGTGCCGATGTATCTCTGAAACCTGCCGCTGTGTCTGTGTCGTGTGGCGGGCCGCGAGTTGACCAGCTCACCGTCTGTAGTTACGTGGCATTCATCTGTGTTGGCTCGATCAGCGTGCAGTTGTAGTTTAGGACCTGGAAATATACATTTTGTTTACAGTTTACCAAATTTCCTGACTTCAGATAACAAATTAGTCATTTTATTGTGAACCTCGTTTCAATGTTTACAAAACGCCGCACTGAACGATCGGCTGCCATTTTCGTCTGTCTGTGAATTTCAACATAACAATGCCCTAAATAGTGACAATAACGCTGTGCAATTATTTGACTGGGTATTCAAAATGTTTTTCATACATTTTTATGTGCATTTGTAAACAAATGAATGCTGTTTTAAATACTTTTTCACAAAGTTGTAGTTGAGCTGTTTTGTGTCAGAAATCAGAAATAGGCGACAACAGCCTAAATATACAAGTGTTTCCACATTATTTCACGATAAAACTATCATCATGGCAATTCTAAACTCTTCTTGTACAATTTTGTAAACAATAAGATGGAAAAAGCTGTTGTTTGACGATTTTTTTACACGTGAGTGTTCAACAAACACAGTGTGAACAGGTAACTTCTACGTCCGCTTCAGTCACTGGCCACAGTCTCAGCACACTCGCTGGGCGGGAGGATGTCGCGTCATGTGTTGTGACTGGGACACGATGTAGATTATTGTCACGTGACGATTATAAATAATGTTGTAAGGGATATCATTTAATACATTCTCAGTATTTAATGCACCCAATTCTATAACAGTTCCCACAGACATCAAACAGAAAATAACTAAACAATATATAAATAACAACGATCAACATTGAGCAAAACCTATATTATCCTGCGGATAGACAAGTCAACAATGCTAAATGATCACTGACTAATTTGCCGTTGTGTAGTTATTGTTGTAGCTGTAAAATGCACAATACATGTAATTGTATAAAATAATTCAATTATTACAGGCCATTTAATTTTGGTTTGAAAGTATTAATAAAATAACTTTCTTTTATCTTTCTCTGTGCATCATTGTCACATTTGTGAAACGGGAATATCACAAAATTGTGTGTTGTATTCCCGACACAAGGATCAATGTGTTGACTGAGTGGGATACACCGGCAAGAGGGGTCCCTTATTTGTTGTCGGGGAACCCTCACTCTCGCTCTTAGGGTGTCCCCTGTCTGATTCAAGGTTGTAACTAAAGGGAGAACACTCTCGTTAGGTTTATCTTTAGGTTTTAAAAGATCACAAAAGTTTTGTGATTTAGCCTTGTTTATTGCGTCTTCTACTATTTTACACTTTTGCTAGGGTAGTTTCTTTCAAAAAGTTGGGCGGTCGGGTAGCCTAGTGGTTAAAGCGTTCGCTCGTCACGCCGAAGACCCGGGTTCGATTCCCGACATGGGTACAATGTGTGAAGCCCATTTGTGGTGTCCCCCGCCGTGATATTGCTGGAATATTGCTAAAAGCGGCGTAAAATCATACTCACTCACTCACTCTTTCTAAAAGTGACTCGCTCAGTTCATCGAGTCTACATTGTGCACGATCTGAAGTAGATACTATCGCACAGATTCTACGCCCTGTTTTTAATATGACGGGGTGACAGGAATTGTAATTGAGGTATTGTTTGGAATCGGTTGGTGTGTAATATGCATCTGTTTCAATGTTATTGTTTGAAATTGTAACAATTACATCTAGAAACGATATATTGTTATCGCTCATCTCTAAAGTAAAGATTAAACCTGGATTGAGTGTCTGTAAACTATCTATCAAATTCCTAATTCCGATTCCACAGAACAAAACAATCATCTAAAAATCTTTTCCATTTATCTTGAAATCCCTGTCCAAATTCAATGCCGAATTTTTTATCAACTTTTGAGTAGTTTTTCCTCTAAATAACCAAGTACAAGGGTTGTATAAGTAGGGGCCATTTTTGTCCCCATTGATGTGCCTTTAATTTGTTTGTAATGCGAACTATCAAAATTAAAAGTGTTATTGTTTAGAATAAATTTAATACTATCGATAACGAAAATGTCTTCTCGGATTTCCGAACGGTGTTTATTTATCCAGTATTCAATAGCTTCTGTGACGAGATCATGGGAATGTTTGAACAGAAACTAACTACATCAAAACTGACCAACTTTGTACCATTTTCGACTGAGGCGGGAAGTTGGTTTAGAAAATCAGTGGTATCTGATATGTAGCTCTTGACATGTTTAACTGTTGATTTCAACTGATTCTGTGTATGGGACATTTGGGTCCTGCAATTATTGGCTGTAATTTTAAATCATTTACGTGGGGTATTTTGACATAAGCAGAATTCAATGTTCGACATTTTTCTTGGATCTGTGCGCTCTTATGAACTTTAGGGCGGCCATAAAAGTTACTTTCTTTCGATTCAAAATTAATCAAATAATCCTCTTCGTTTTTAGTAAGGCATTGAGAATGTGAATATACTAATCTTTTAAGATTAAGTAATACAGATTTTTCCGAAATTGTCTGAAAGCCTTCTGTAACAAGATTCGTCTTTTAACATTTCCAATGAGAGTTCTTGGTAATAATTGCTGTCCAAAATTATTACAGCGCCTCCCTTACCAGCTTCTTTAATAACAATTGAATCGTTTGATAATCTGTTAAGAACCGCTCGTTCATGTTTTGTTTTGTTTGATTTACCTCTTTGAGGGTTTACAGTAAAGGTTAAATCTTTGAGGCGGTTAACAACATTGTCTTACACTTTGTTACTATCAGGTATTGGAGTGAAGGCGCTTTTGTTTCTAGCTAATGAAGTATCTTCGTTATTGTCATCAATATCAAAATGATTTAGTAATCTCAATTTTCTACAAAAATCAGACACATCTGTTTCTAGTTCATGTAAATCCTGTTTCAATGGAGTAGAGGTGAAATTTATACCTTTAAGTTATACAGAAATGTCCTCCTTGGTCAGATCTACACAAGATAAGTTGATCACTTTTGATTTGCAATACAACCTCTAAATATTTATACATTTACCCGAGCGATAATTCTCGTTAGAAGTCAGATTCAGAAATGTTCTTTCTCATATTGACCACTGACGCCACTGTTTTCAAGACAGAATTCGAAAACTTCGTCATTAAGAGTGAGTGAGTGAGTGAGTAGGGTTTTACGCCGCCTTTAGCAATATTCCAACAATTTCACGGTTGGTGACATCCGAAATGGGCCTTACACATTGTACCCATCTGAGGAATCGAACCCATTCCTTAGGCGTGACGAGCGAACGCATTACCCACTAGACTACAAGTGCCCCAAGTTATTAAGAAAGAGGCATTAAACATGATGATATTCTCATTGCGCCAGACGAGTATCGCTTGCCATAGCAACATGCACGGCCTTCATCATCAGTATCACACACATATGCACACTTACGATAAGCATGTACATCACAATACATGAGTTTGTTAATTCTTATAAACCTTTATAATCATTGCCATGCACGTGTTGTGGCGCAGTTTAAAGTGACAATGCAATAATATTGTTTAACGCCGCACTCGGATATAGTCAAATATGGCGGAATAATAATAAACAGAAATTTAGCATGTAAAGAAAGAATCATGACGTGTTGCTTAAAAGAAAGAAAATGTGTTAATTAACTACGATCACTCGGCCTTAACGATTCAGACCTCCACCCAGTTGCATGTGTCAATATATGGAATAGAATGATTTTATCTACAAGTTTTTATGGATGTGAATTGTTACCAGCCAAAGAAACAAAGAAATTCATTAATTCATTCATCAACCATGTCGGGCACGTCGCCTCTTACGACTAGCATAGTTTTCTATCAGATTCTAAAATGAAATAAATGTCTCTAAAAAAGTATCAAGTGCAACATTACAACAATTTGTCTAAAAGTTTCATTCAGAAACAGTATTGAAGAGGAACGTTAACCCGAACGCAAAAAGAATGTTTTACCGTAATGATTGTTACCAATGAAATTAACCGCCTTAGCAACGTCCTTAGTAACAGGGGTCGACAAGGGGGAAATACTATGTCAGGTGAACTGATAAACTGAAATCTACAATGCCATAGTTCTTACGTGAATTTCTGAATCGACTTTGTTTCAGTTTGTTGTGGAATGATTAGGATTTACGTTTCACAACATATGCATAAGCTTAGAGTAGGAATCGTCTGTAAATATTATCCATGTCACTACGACTCAACATATAAGTGACGGGAGGTATTAAGACTCAATGCCGGCATACTAAAAGCATCTGGAGAACAACCGAACGTTGTAATGTCAACACTCGGAAATCAACACCTCTACAAAAATGTGTCCACTGAAAACAACCGAGATGCTCCAGGCATTTGAAATACTGGATATTATAAACTGCTGGAAGTAGCCTGGTGGTTAAAGCGCCTGACAGGTCAAAAACATCAGTTCGATTCCAGACAAGGGTACACGCCCATTTTTGGTGTCTCCAGCTGTGATATAGCTGGAATACTGCCAAAGGTGACTTAATATCTACTCATTCACTAACTATATACGTCGCATATAATGGATTGTTCTACGTCTGTTTGAGCAGTGTTCCGGCTTCCCTACAGTGGTCTGTTAATATACAAGTCTGACCAGACACCAGTGGCGGAAAGTAACTTTCCTTAACGTCAGTGCATAATGGCACACGGTGAGTCAGGTTGAGTTTCACTAAAGCATGTTACAAAGAGTACAATATACTTACAGATGATGTATTTGACACTGCTGCCCTCTCTGAGGATGTGCATTGGACAGAAAGAGCCTGCAAAAATATAGTTTAAGTTTAAAACACAATTTTGGCGCATTTGTTTCTGATGAAATGTGAGTATGGTTTATTTTCACAGTTGACCTGCACAGCTTGCAGACAGTGAATCTGTGAGGGGTGTTTTACAAAATTATAAAACAGTATTTCAGTTGTACCATGGTGTGTCAGTTTGGTTGGGGAGTGCCATGAGAATTAATGTAAGTCTTCACGGCGAATTGTTCGCCTCAGAGGACTGGGTCAATCGTGTCCCACACACAGGTGAAGCACCCTCACACAAGTAAAACACACAGTAGTGAAGCACCCTCACACAAGTGAAACACACAATGATGAAGCACCCTCACACAAGTGAAACACACAATGGTGAAGCACCCTCACACAAGTGAAATATCCAGTGGTGAAACGCCCTTACACAAGTGAAACACACAGTGGTGAAGCACCATCACACAAGTGAAACATGCAGTGGTGAAGCACCCTTACACAAGTGAATCATACAGTGGTGAAGCACCATTACACTAGTGAGACGCACAATGGTGAAGCACCTTACACAAGTGAAACACACAATTGTGAAGCACCCTCACACAATTGAAACATACAGTGGTGAAGCACCCTTACACAAGTGAAACACACAATGGTGAAGCATCCTTACACAAGTGAAACATCCAATTGTGAGTGAGTGAGTATGGTTTTACGCCGCTTTTAGCAATATTCCAGCAATATCATCGCGGAATACACCAGCAATGGGCTTCACACATTGTACCCATGTCGGGAATCGAACCCGTGTCTTCGGCGTGACGAGCGAATGCTTTAACCACTAGGCTACCCGACCGCCCCCATCCAATGGTGAAGCACCCTTACACAAGTGAAACATCCAGTGGTGAAGCACCCTTACACAAGTGAAACATACAGTGTTGAAGCACCCTTACATTAGTGAAACATCCAGTGGTGAAGCACCCTTACACTAGTGAAACATACAGTGTTGAAGCACCCTTACATTAGTGAAACACACACTTGTGAAGCACCTTACACAAGTGAAACACACAATGGTGAAGCACCTTACACAAGTGAAACACACAATGGTGAAACAAACTCACACAAGTGAAACATACAGTGGTGAAGCACCCTTACACAAGTGAAACACACAATGGTGAAGCACCCTCACACAAGTGAAACATACAGTGGTGACGTAACCTTACACAAGTGAAACATACAATGGTGAAGCACCCTCACACAATTGAAACATCCAGTGGTGAAGCACCCTAAGACAAGTGAAACACACAATGGTAAAGCATCCTTACACAAGTGAAACATCCAGTGGTGAAGCATCCTTACACTAGTGAAACATCCAGTGGTGAAGCAACCTCACACAAGTGAAACATACAGTGGTGAAGCACCCTTACACAAGTGAAACACACAATGGTGAAACACCCTCACACAAGTGAAACACACACTGGTGAAACACCCTTACACAAATGAAACATGCAGTGGTGAAGCACCCTTACACAAATGAAACATACAGTGGTGAGGCACCCTTACACTAGTGAAACACACAATGGTGAAGCACCTTACACAAGTGAAACACACAATGGTGAAGCACGCTCACACAAGTGAAACATACAGTGATGAAACACCCTTACACAAGTGAAACACACAATGGTGAATCATCCTTACACTAGTGAAACATTAAATGGTGAAGCACCCTCACACAAGAGAAACATACATTGGTGAAGCACCCTTACACTAGTGAAACACACAATGGTGAAACACCCTCACACAAGTGAAACACACAATGGTGAAGCACCCTCACACAAGTGAAACACACAGTGGTGAAGCACCCTCACACAAGTGAAACAAACAGTGGTGAAGCAGCCTCACACAAGTGAAACAAACAGTTGTGAAGCAGCCTCACACAAGTGAAACAAACAGTGGTGAAGCAGCCTCACACAAGTGAAACACACAATGGTGAAGTACCTCACACAAGTGAAACACACAATGGTGAAGCACCCTCACACAAGTGAAACACACAGTGGTGAAGCACCCTCACACAAGTGAAACAAACAGTGGTGAAGCAGCCTCACACAAGTGAAACACACAATGGTGAAGCACCCTAACACAAGTGAAACGTACAGTGGTGAAGCACCCTTACACTAGTGAAACACACACTGGTGAAGCACCCTTACACAAGTGAAACACACATTGGTGAAGCACCCTTACTCAAGTGAAACACACAATGTTTAAGTATCGTTACACTAGTGAAACATCCAGTGGTGAAGCATCCTTACACTAGTGAAACATCCAGTGGTGAAGCACCCTCACACAAGTGAAACACACAATGGCGAAGCAACCTCACACAAGTGAAACACACAATGGTGAAGCACCCTCACAGAAGTGAAACATCTAGTGGTGAAGCACCATTACACAAGTGAAGCACACAATGGTGAAGCACTCTCACACAAGTGAAACACACAGCTTAGTCATGTTGTAGTTTCATAATTTTCATTTTAACCAACACACATAGCTGATATATATCGTGTATGCTCCGTGCAATGCTCATCTGACACAGCCACGTGTAAGTGGAACAGTTTATTATGATACGATCGGGATCTCTTCATCAGCGACTGAGGGATGTTTTACTCCCTTGGTACAACTTGAATTGAACTTAATTAGTTTTACCAATCGTGCTTTTTTCGAAAATTCCATGATCGAAAATGAATTAAATCGACATGAAAGATATAAACGGCATTCTAAAGATAACCGAATCATTCACGGATCCAGAATTGCGTCCTTTGGCCGAAATGTTAAACACGAACAGATCAACAATACAAAATGTGCTTCCTTCTTTTGCACAAGCGACGTTACCAGGTGAAGACTTTGCAGTTTCTTTCGAACGAACAGTCGACGGGTTAGTGTCTTCGATGTCCCAATTCGCAATGTCTGTCACACATACACATTGGCAAGATAAATTAATCTCTGATATATCTGATATCTACAGATTATGGCCGTCTAGGTTTGTGTTTGTGAGGCTATTCCTGAAATACCTTGCTTTACACACACCCATACACGTACATCCAACACCCCTGTTTTTAGCGAAAGATGTTAACGCCGCTTGTGGTGTATTCTCCCTGCAGTAACAACTCCCCCTTAAATAACAGTAGAATGGAAAGAAAATCTGACTGATCTCTAGATACGTTTTGTGTGGCATGCGAGGTGATGTAAAGCTCTTACACAATCTGAGCAAATGACCATGTCGCTATGCATAGCTGATAGTGATCATGTATGAGCTGTAGGTTTAAGAAGCTGGTGATATCCTATATACTGATAGTAACTCTTTTTTGACTTAAAGAATACTGCTGACAAGTCAGTCACAAACTCACTGTCATTCACATTATTCAGATTGTATGGAATTGTCGGGCACGTACCTGTCAAGCAAATTCCACGTGGAGTTGTCTCCGTGGACATGAGTGATCCAATTATGAACTGAAAACAAAGGTTTTGAAAGATTATAATAGTGCAAGCTGTAACTAAAATTATAGAATGGCCAATAAATACTCAGCGACTTATTTCCTTTCACTCTACAAAGCTTAAATTCAGTGGGAGAGGAATGGTATTTTGTTAAACATTGTGTCTGTTGTTCAACACCGCACTCAGCAATATTCCATCTATATGGAGGCGGCACGTAAATAATCGTATCAGGGCCAAACAAACCGATGATTGATGGAATGTGCTCACGCCCCACGCAATCGGGGAACAATGACACGCCATTAACGAGCCTGAGCGACGGATCCATCTATTCGCCTGTTTACAGTCAGCATTGGTTCTGGGGACATATTCAGACCCGGAACCTCATTGGGTTATTGAACGTACTTTGGTCACAACTTCATAAACGTCTTGTGATGTCGGCTGTGCAGGCTGGAGTTCCTGTGATCCAGATACAGTAGAGTCGGATTCCTTGATTCCTGTTGGAAGACAAAGATAAACATATTTGAAAGCAATCTCCGACTCTTAATGTTAATACACACGCACGCATCCACGCACGTTCGTATGTATGTTTGAATGTATTACACGCACGCATCCACGCACGTTCGTATGTATGTTTGAATGTATTACACGCACGCATCCACGCACGTTCGTATGTATGTTTGAATGTATTACACGCACGCACGCACGCACGCACGCACGCACGCACGCACGCACGAGTAATTCAAGTATGCGTAATATACGTTCATGTTTTGCATTTAAGATTTGAGAGATGATATTATTAAAGTGATATATTTAATCTGCTCTTCCCGACCTCCATCATAGTATCATACTGTACCTGGGATGCGAAATAAAATCTTGACAAGCTGGTGCCATCGTTCTTCATGTAGCTGAAACAACAACACTGGCATCAAAGAGATCAGTTTGTAACGTAACGTTCTTATATAACATAGAACTGGTATAGAACTCCCAACCACGTTCATCAGACAAATATTCTGATATGATTCCAACAATATTTGCATTCAACTCATTTAGATACATTTAATTTCCCTTTAAACAACATATTACCGTGTTTGTTTCTTGTTCTCTCAATGTCAGCAGATGTATCTGTTGAAGCAGACCTGGAGACAAATATTGAACAGATAAATTCAAAACTTTATTAGCAATTAATGGTACTTTATAATGACGATAAGTCATTTCGATGTTTGGATAAGTGTTACTGCAATATTCTGGATTACATGCTTTGGTACAGACGTGGGTATGATGAATAAAGCTGACTGAGACATTTACGCAAAGGCTCAGATCTTAATAGTTGAATGAGAAACTGGTCAATGTGTTGCAGAGTATTATCTAAACATGAATGTTCTTATATATACCAACCTTGATAAGTACGCTGTGTGTCTGGAATATGATCCAAGTCGAGACAGGAGACAAGTCCACCAAATGTATCGATGAGTTCCTCCAGGGCTTTCTGGCCTTGAAAGGAAAGGAGGATCCTTGTATCTCTTGTGTCATCTTCTGGAAGTTCCCTCTTGAGATTTTCATCACATTTCTTCAGTATTGCAGCAGTGAGAGTGATGAGCTCCTCTCTTCTTGTGGATTCCAGTGTTCTCTGTGTGTAGTCTATCATGGATGCAATGGAAGTATGGACGTCATGTATAGTGTCAAGGGTCTCTTGAACTGTTTTATTTGGGGCCTCCAAACTCATTTGAACCTCTTTCCTCAGATTTCGCTGTCGATGAAGGGACTTTACAGCCACACTTTTACAAACTGTAATGATGGCTTGTTCCAGCTTTCTCTGTTTATCTCCCAGTTCATCTTGGTGACTGTTGACAGTTGCCATTTTGTCTGTGACATCTTTCAGTTTACGTCGTTGATTCTGCAACTGTTCCTCCAGCTGACCCTTTGCCTTCTCATGGGCATGATTCAAGTCTTCTTTCTTGTGATCTCTATGGGCCCCATGTAGACATACAATACAGATAGCCTTCTTACATGTGTGGTCATACAGCTGGAGTTCATTGTTTGGGTGGTCTGTGCAATTAGGTTCCTTCAGCCATTGCCTCATGGGGATATTCTCTGTCTGATTGACCTCCTCCACTCTGTGGTTTCTATTCCGTTTCGGTACGTCATGATGTTTATGACAGTAGGAGCAGAGCAGGTTTTCACATTCGTGACAGTACACCTCAGCGTTTGCGTCATGATCTCCCTCGATGTAGTTACATTTCTTGTCTCCCTCAACGTTGGCAGCATAGGCAACCTCATTGCGTCCAACATGATCTACTTCAGTCTGTTCCGTGTTGAACTCACGATCACACGGACATTGGAGGCACTTCTGTTGTGCTTGGGCAGCGTGGTGATCAATGCATGGTTTACAGGCAGAATGGAGGCATGGAAGGAGACAAAGCTGACTTTCATCACAGCAAGATTGAGTTGAGAACTGGCACATTCTGTCAATGGCACCTGTGGGTAAAAAAAACACATTAAGATGTGTCTAGTAGATAGAGTGTCTGCCCGGAGAGAGGAAGGTCGGGGGTTCGATCACCGGCAGCGTCATACCAAAATACGCTACCAGCTTATACTTGTCACCCTGCCATGACAGCATTAAGGGGCTGAAACAATGACTGGTCGGCAAAGACTGTGTCTGAGTTGAGTATTCATGTTAAACTGCGGCATGGTATCACAATGGGCTAGCACTATAAAATCAGCATTTTCCCGGACTGGTACAAGCAGCCACACACAAACACGTGCATATGCGTCGCTTTACAAGTGCAATAATCTTGAACGTGACGCTAAACCACATTTCACCTCAACTCATTATGATTACGTTTCTAACTATTTACGTCTGTGAGATTGATTGTCCCTTTTCTTTATGTACCAGTATGTTGGACCTGCACTGCAATGTCTTCAATATCTGGGGACTGCGGCCTAGCATCCCCTGACAAGGCCTCGTATGCCTCCTGTTCTTCATGCAGTCTCTGAAATAACAAGTACCATTGCCTCAGATTGTACTTATTATGTTACATCTGTAGATGTGCAACAATGTTTCTATTGCCTTGGTTATTAAATGTATCTCCTTGAGTATAACATCATTCCTACCTTCTTCACGTCGTCACATTCTGCCTGACTCTGCTGCAAATCATCGTTTGACTTTGACAGTTGCATTTTCACTGAAATGTGATTACAAGGATCGCATCAGAGAATTGATCAAACTTCAAATTATGTGGCATGTTTCATTGTGGCAATGGCATTGTGTGGCTACTAATCCTATACGGGTCGATGGTAACTTATTGCAGCATGGGTAAAAGTAAAGTTGCAAATAAAAGACAGACTTGAAACAGAAAAGCAAACATCAGCCTACATGTTTCTACTTCCTCCTCCTGCTTTTCCATCTGTGCTATGTGTTCCTCTCTTTCCTTTTTAATTGCTTCCTCCCGTTCAGCGTGGTCCAAGTCCTTTTGTTTTATTTGTTCCTTAAGTCTTTCCTTTGCCTGAAAACAGACGTGAACGAGGAGTAATCATCTGAACATCCACAACATATAAATACACCTAGACATTGCAGCTTATTACATGTATTGCCTGTTTCACTTGTCTCCATCTTCCCAGGGCAAGTGAGTTAACTGACTATAAAAGCCCAGTTTCCACTCTTGCCGAACTAGGCTGGTATTATGGAGTTATATTTTGGCTGGGCTAACGAGTCTTTGCATAGTCCAATCAAAATCGCGCACCGAAATCGAAATCCGGTTCGTAAAGTGTCATGTAGATTTCGGTCGACTGCAGGATTTGCAAAGCATGTGCACCGCTAGTGTTGTATATAGTACCTTTCACCCATTGTAAGTGCATTCAGTTAAATTTTGCTTCCCCTGTGTAATATATTCCGTATTTTCAAGGGTGTAAGTAAATACATGTTGAGTGGCTCGTCCACGGTCTAAGGGAAATCACTCTGTCAGTCCTCTGGAAGTTGTGCCGCTTAGCGCACTGTCAAATTGAATGCGCTTACGTCATTTGCTGACATATCTTTGTCAGCCATGTTTTATCGAACATAAAACAAACGTGACCCAAATTCTTTGTTGTTTTCAGGTATGTATGATAATTAACGGTAGAGATAAGACCACAACATAGGTATTTATGTAGATAAGAACATGTAGGTTTTAAATAACCATATTTGGCTGTATAGATAATGTTGTAATTAGATAATTACTTGCTTAACGATAACGCTTCGCCCAGTCAGTGTCCACGGACGACATGGTAGCGAAGGACAGTCAAGGTCATTTGTCGTTTGAGTACTCAAACAAATATATATGATGTGTATCGCTGTCAAACATGTACACACACTCCTCAGGCAATGTTTTCAAGCATAAGTTAGGATAAAAAGCTATATTTGTCCACACCTCGCTGATCGTTCATATTTGAGGTCACGTGACCTCCCACATTTTCATGTACATCGTTTGGCATACTTTCGTTGTATATTTTGTAAGAACACACTTCAAGCATATCGCATAATCATTGTAAATATAACTTTACTGCATTAAAACATCACAATTGAGCTGAACCAATATAAGTTACAGCACATCCCATTTCATAGCATAGCATCTGTCTCAGTTAAAGGGAGGTAATTCTTGTTGTCCAATGTAATGCGGTTTGACTCAATACTCATTTATAAGATAATCTGTAATTTCTTAGTTTTCATTTGTAATAACAAACTATTGGAAGTATAATTCATTAAGGTATTATTTTCACACATGACATATGCCAAGTGTATAATTAGTTCACTTTGATAGAGTATTTGATATTTATGCAATGTTGTAATACAGTATGGAAATTTAGCATATTACTGGTGTTATGGTTACCATGAATGCATGGATTTATCTTTTATGGTTTCTTGAAAGTTGATATTAATGTTATCAACTACATTGTAGTTCCATTGCAAGTTGTGTTGATGGGTCTTGTCATCTAATGTTGACATTGGAAATATAAGTAACCGAGAACTAGTTGGGTATTATAATACTTTATTGTATGCCTAGTATAGTTAATGAGTGTTGATATTTTATCCGTTGCGCCACACCAAGTTGAAAACTTGAAGTATAAACATGTGTAAACATGACGTCTTTGTCAGCCATGTTTTATCGAACATAAAACAAACGTGACCCAAATTCTTTGTTGTTTTGAGTGAATGTGACCTGGGTAACACTAGCTCGTTGTCAACAGATATTTTCAAAATCTTTTCATGTTTTTAATCAAGGTGCTCACGTGATTTGATGCACTTCGCGATGTAAGACTCGTGTTATCACAATATAGATCTTGATCATCGATCAGATCGTCTTGACAGTGCGCCACCGTTTTGTTTGAAACAAATGCAAGTGATGCGAGAGGTGGAATCTGATTGGTCCACAGGAGAGGCATAAAAGGGACATAGCTGGTAATAGCCACTGGTGGCGCTACGATCAACCCAGTAAGTCCAGCCTAGTTCTTCAAGGGTGGAAACTGGACTTTTAAAGTCAGTTAACTCCCTTGCCTCGGGAAGATGCTTGTCTCGGAAAAAGTAATAGAAACTTGATGTTTAAGAGAGTTGCGGGAAGCGTACATTCACTAACATTGCACATCTGATACCTTATATATGTGCAGTACTACTTCATACATATCTATCTCATCTGAATACAGGGGTATCTTAACATGATGAGCAGAAAAGTTTTTACTGTGTTCGGACTACTCACAGATTGCAGTTCAGCTATCTGGTCCTCTTTTTCCCCAATTTCCTTTTTGTACTGAGCTTCCAGCTTGAACTTGTTGACATAGACGAGATCTGAACTACCTGAAGAGTAGAACATTGTGCATGTAGTAAAAACAGCACGAAATGAGATATAACTCGTTGTTTGAAGACTTTTTGTTTCTTCTGTTGGAGTAGCTACTAACTAGACACATCTGTGGTTGATATGACGTCACCTAACAATGGGCGTGATAATGGCCCGTCAAGAAATATGAGGGCATCAACATGTGGGCGGCTCAATGATAATTCTATCCATTTTAGCTATAATGAGTTTTAATGGATGGAAGAGAATGAAATGAGATATGACCCTGTGAATTTCTGGCTGTGAACTCCATGTTATATCCAGGCTTATATTACAGCAATACTAGTCAAACTGCTGTTGGTAGTTATGGCAGCTTGTGATCACACATGATAACCCAACTTACATACCTGCTTCCGTGGAGGTTCCATCAAGCCGTTGTTTGATGAACAGCTGAGAGGAATCAAGGACAGCACACAGTGTCCGGTACCCTTCTTGTCCCTTCTTCTTTAATATTTCTAACAGCATCTCACATTTCTCCGGCCCAGCCTGTCTACACCTGTCATAGTCCGCCTGTGTGAAGACATCGTCCTGCAACAAGGCGTCCAGCACAGGGTCCACCAGAAGGTTCTCCTTCAGGAACTTGTGGTTCCTCTGGAGGACGACAACGTGGGGGGCAGCCATCTTCTGACGTCAGGTGTTTGGGTATAAGGGACTAAGCTACAGATCTAAAAAGTAAATGGAAAACATAACTAACTGAAATTGAAAGTTCCTGCACACTGCGTCAAAAGTCCTGGTCAAATTCTTTCCTGAGAACGTCGTTCTTTTGTTTGTAATTCTCCATGTTGCATACTTACATGTTCAATGAATTGGTATATTACCTTGCCCCTTTAAACTTCAATACTATACACAATAATGTGCATACAAAACTACCTTATTGTTCAATTATTGTTTGCTTCCATGAAGTCGTACAATAAGTATAGCAATAACGAGGCTCCAAGTCATCACTATGTTCATGTATGTTAACGAATAAGCCTTGTATTGTGCTCCGAAACTACACGTCAGACAAGCTCATCAGTTAATCGCCCTCATATTGTATCTCCGGGTTTGAGGTTGGGTGTTAATAGTGGAGGGAAAAGGGGTTGGTGTACAAGGGATTGACTATGAACACAACTATTTTGATGAATCTACACGGGAGTAATAACTTATGAAAACCCCATAGAGATGCTCTTTCGCGTACTGGATGTTAACAGTACATTGGTACATGGTATAAACAACATCTTTCAAGGCATCCCACAGGTTTGTCAACAGAGAGTAAAGTAAGGATATAAAAAAAACTTTGGATTCGTCCACAATTAATTTTAGGGTGCATTTTTCACAGTGTAGGCAAAGTGCACTAAAAGGTGATAGACACTGTAGGCGAAATGCACTGTAGGCGAATGGAGATTGAACTTGGCACGGATTCCCAGTTTACTAAATTGCCGCAATTCGCTGTCGAAAGCTGCGTCCCTTTGGCACACTAGAAACCTATGATAGCGGGTTCGACTCCCAGTTCGTTTGGATTATGTTTCTGGGTTTGTCAGCGCCATACCCATGCTTGTTGGTTTTCCTCCTACATCAAGCTGACGTGCCGTGATATAAATGTCTTAACAGTGAAATGTGATATCAAGCATGGGGTAGATTTCGATCCCCACCATAGCAATGGGTCTTTGTATGAAACCGTGTTCGAGGAACGTTCACCAATGCATAACAATCGGGGGAAATGTAAAACTAAGTAGATGACATGAGTGACCCGACTTCACAATACCCGGTTGTGCCGCTCAGTTCGTGCACTTGACAGGCATGTCGAAGCGCTATTCATACATCGTAACGTCAGAGTGGCAGCCATGACAACCTATAGAATGACTTCACCACCAGCCGTGGCCAGCTTGTGTAGCATGTTACAACATGGCTGCCGTTCCCACCACTCTACCTCTTCTTGTACAACACTTACAAACTAGTGTCTGCAAACAAAGTTGCTGGACCCTTTCATCAGTGATGCTGATTGACGAATTTCTAACTTTTCTAAAAATTACATGGTGAGACATGGCCTGTATCAAGTGTGCAAACAAATAATAAAAGAAGCGTTTGTGTCAACATAAAATTAAGAAATATGTGGCCATAAAGTGCCGTTTTATCAACACTGTGTTCATATTTTCCTACAGCACCCCACCCAGCCCGACCTACCCACTGCATTCCCCCTCATAACCACACACACATACTGGATTCAACAGAGCTCATACTAATGTTTAAGGTCTATAATGAAAGTCATACAGCTGTAAACACTCATCAAGCGGCACAACATAATATATGTTAAGAAGATGATAATATAACCACAAGAAATAAGTAGATATATTTTACTTACACGACACAGGTACAACAAGAAGTCAAATATGGCCGTCGCCTTGTTCAGCTACAAAACGGAACTCGGGCTGTGAGTGGCGCCTACTCGCGTGACGCATTAAACACCTGTCTTCATTGGGTACGATAACTCGTCATGGTCAGGTTATTCAATGACAAATGCATTCGGTCGCAGCAGGGGGGCTATTTATATGCACGTTTACGATTTCGCGAGTTTTGATGTCGGGGACAACACAAAAGTTTTCATCATACATTACATGCGGGGATACGAATGCAGACTCAGCTATAGCCCAAGGCCGAGAGCGTTCGTGTAATGCAGTGCAAGAAAGAGAAGTTATCCTTTTCACCAGTTTTGTAGGTACAAATGTAACTTGTATGTGGCAAATAGATTTGAATATGGTTGTGCTTAAGAATCATCAGGTGCAGAAAGCAAACCTGGACATACTTATATCCAGTGCCGTAGCCACGCAAGTCACGCAATGCATAGTGCAGAGGGAGGGTCCTCTAAACTGTTGTCAAGGTTGCCTTCCCAGTCGTGCATTCTAGTTCAGTTTTTATCAGAAACCTCGTGGTCGATCGCATTGTTACATAAACCGGGTCTCCAATCTGGAATGAGTTTCTGTCAATACATGTACAAACAAGTGTTGCTGTCATATAACTAAAATACTGATCACAAGTGACGTTAAACTCCGACTAAGTCCCGGATGATCATCAAGGCTGAAGTGGTTCTATATAAAATTCACGAGTAATAGTCTTGTATATTTGAGCTATTGTCAATATAAGTCTTATATAAACATGCATCCGAGATACTAAACAACTGTTCAAGACCAGGCACCCAGCATCTCAGTCATTAAGTAATAGTTGACCCTTCTCTTGTCACGTGACGTGTAAAACACACGACTCATAATTCTTTATCTGATGTCCTTTTGTAGTCCATGTTTACGATTCCCTGATATAGTGGAATATCATATATTAGTGGTTGAAGTATCAGTAGTACTAATAGTAATAGTAGTGATAGTGGTTGTAGTACTAATAGTAGTAGAAATAGTAGTAGCTATAGTAGTAGTAGTAGTAGTAGTAGTGGTGATAGTGGTTGTAGTACTAATAGTAGTAGAAATAGTAGTAGCTATAGAAGTAGTAGTAGTAGTAGTGATAGTGGCTGTAGTATCAGTAGTAGAAATAGTAGTAGTAGTAGTAGTAGTGATAGTGGTTGTAGTATCAATAGTAGTAGTAATAGTAGTAGTGATAGTAGTTGTAGTATCAGTATCAGTAATAGTTATATTAGTGATAGTAGTTGTTGTATCAGTAGTAGTAGTAATTGTAGTTGTAGTGATTGTGATTGTAGTAGTAATAGCAGTAGTAGTAGTAGTGATACTGGTTGTAGTATCAGCAGTAGTAGTAGTAGTAGTAGTAGTAGTGATACTGGTTGTAGTATCAGTAGTAGTAGTAGTAGTAGTAGTAGTAGTAGTAGTAGTAGTAGTAGTAGTAGTGATAGTGGTTGTAGTATCGGTAGTAGTAATAGCAGTAGTAACAGTGATAGTGGTTGTAGTATCATTTGAAGTTATAGTAGTAGTAGTATGACTGGTTGTAGTATCAGTAGTAGTAGTAGTAGTAGTAGTAGAAGTAGTAGTAGGAGCAGTAGTAGTAGTAATAGTTGTTGTAATATCAGAAGTAATTGTTGTAGTGATACTGGTTGTTGTATCAGCAGTAGTAGTAGAAGAAGTAGTAGTAGTAGTAGTGATAGTGGTTGTAGTATCGGTAGTAGTAATAGTAGTAGTAGTGATAGTGGTTGTATTATGAGAAGTAGTAGTAGTAGTAGTAGTAGTAGTAGTAGTAGTAGTAGTAGTAGTAGTTGTAGTAGTTGTTGTAATATCAGAAGTAATTGTTGTAGTGCTAGTGGTTGTAGTATCAGCAGTAGTAGTAATAGTATTAGTAGTGATAGTGGTTGTAGTATTAGCAGTAGTAGTAATAGATTTAGTAGTGGTAGTGGTTGTAGTATCAGCAGTAGTAGTAACAGTAGTAGTGATAGTGGTTGTAGTATCATCATCAGAAGTATTAATAGTAGTAGTAATGGTAGTGGTTGTAGTATCATCAGTAGTGGTAATAGTAGTAGTAGTGATAATGGTTGTATAATGAAAAGAAGTAGTAGTAGAAGTAGTAGTAGTAGTAGTAGTATCAGTAGTAGTAGTAATAGTAGTATTAGTTGTGGTAGTGGTTGTAGTATCAGAAGTAGGAGTATTAGTATTATTATTGGTATTATTTTTATTATTATTATTATTATTATTATTATTTTTAGTAGTAGTAGTAGTAGTAGTAGTAGCTGTTGTTGTAATATCAGAAGTAGTAGCAGTAGTGATGTGGTTGTAGTATCAGTAGTAGTAGTAGTGGTGGTTGTAGTATGAGTAGTAGTGGAAATAGTAGTACTAGTGAAAGTGGTTGTTGTAGTATCAGCAGTAGTAGTAATAGTAGTAGTAGTGATAATGGTTGTAGTATCATCATCAGTAGTAGAAACAGTAGTAATAATGATAGTGGTTGTAGTATCATCAGTAGTAGTAATAGTCGTAGTAGTGAAAGTGGTTGTAGTATCAGAAGTAGGAGTATTAGTATTATTATTGGTATTATTTTTATTATTATTATTATTATTATTATTATTATTATTATTATTATTATTATTAGTAGTAGTAGTAGCTGTTGTTGTAATATCAGAAGTAGTAGCAGTAGTGATATGGTTGTAGTATCAGTAGTAGTAGTAGTGGTGGTTGTAGTATGAGTAGTAGTGGAAATAGTAGTACTTGTGAAAGTGGTTGTTGTAGTATCAGTAGTAGTAGTAATAGTATTAGTAGTGGTAATGGTTGTAGTATCAGCAGTAGTAGTAACAGTAGTAGTAGTGATAGTGGTTGTAGTATCATCATCAGTAGTAGTAGTAATAGTAGTATTAGTAGTGGTAGTGGTTGTAGTATCAGAAGTAGGAGTAGTAGTAGCTGTTGTTGTAGTATCAGCAGTAGTAGCAGTAGTGATGTTGTTGTAGTATCAGCAGTAGTAGTAGTAGTGGAGGTTGTAGTATGAGTAGTAGTGGAAATAGTATTACTAGTGAAAGTGGTTGTTGTATGAGCAGCAGTAGTAGTGATAGTAGTAGTAGTAGTGGTAGTGGTTGTAGTATCAGCAGTAGTAGTAATAGTATTAGTAGTGATATTGGTTGTAGTATCAGCAGTAGTAGTAACAGTAGTAGTAGTGATAGTGGTTGTAGTATCAGCAGTAGTAGTAATAGTAGTAGTAGTGGTAGTGGTTGTAGTATCAGCAGTAGTAGTAGTAATAGTAGTAGTAGTGGTAGTACTAATAGAAGTAGTAATAGCAGTAGCTATAGTAGTAGTAGAAGTAGTAGTGATAGTGGTTGTAGTGTCAGTAGTAGTAATATTAGTAGTAGTGATAGTAGCTGTAGTATCAGTAATAGTAATATTAGTGATAGTAGTTGTTGTATCAGTAGTAGTAGTAATTGTGGTAGTAGTGATAGTGGTTTTAGTAGTAATAGCAGTAGTAGTAGTGATACTGGTTGTAGTATCAGCAGTAGTAGTTATAGTAGCAGTAGTTGTAGTAATAGTAGTGATAGTGGTTGTAGTATCGGTAGTAGTAATAGTAGTTGTAGTGATAATGGTTATATTATGAAAAGTAGTAGTGGTAGTAGTAGTAGTAGTAGTAGTAGTAGTAGTAGTAGTAGTAGTTGAAGTACTAGTAGTAGTAATAGTTGTAATATCAGAAGTAATTGTTGTAGTGATAGTGTTTGTAGTATCAGTAGTATTAGCAATAGTAGTAGAAGTAGTGGTAGTGGTTGTAGTATCAGAAGTATTAGTATTAGTATTAGTATTAGTATTATGATTATTATTATTATTAGTAGTAGTAGTAGTAGCTGTTGTTGTAATATCAGAAGTAGTAGCAGTAGTGATGTGGTTGTAGTATCAGTAGTAGTAGTAGTATTAGTTGTTGTAATATCAGAAGTAATTGTAGTAGTGATACTGGTTGTTGTATCAGCAGTAGTAGTTATAGTAGTAGTAGTAGTAGAAGTAGTAGTAGTAGTAGTAGTGATAGAGGTTGTAGTATCGGTAGTAGTAATCGTGGTAGTAGTGATAGTGGTTGTATTATGAGAAGTAGTTGTAGTAGTAGTAGTTGTAGTAGTAGTAGTAGTAGTAGAAGTAGGAGGCGTAGTAGTAGTAGTAGTAGTAGTAGTAGTAGTAGTAGTAGTAGTAGTAGTAGTAGTTGTTGTTGTAATATCAGAAGCAATTGTTGTAGTGATAGTGGTTGTAGTATCAGTAGTGGTAGTAATAGAAGTATTAGTAGTGGTAGTGGTTGTAGTATCAGAAGTAGGAGGAGTAGTAGCTGTTGTTGTAATATCAGAAGTAGTAGCAGTAGAGATGTTGTTGTAGTATCAGTAGTAGTAGTAGTGGTGGTATGATTAGTAGTGGAAATAGTATTACTAGTGAAAGTGGTTGTTGTATGAGCAGCAGTAGTAGTGATAGTAGTAGTAGTAGTGTTAGTGGTTGTAGTATCAGCAGTAGTGGTAATAGTAGTAGTAGTGATAGTAGCTTTAGTATCAGCAGCAGTAGTAATAGTATTAGTAGTGATAGTGGTTGTAGTATCAGCAGTAGTAGTAATAGTTTTAGTAGTGGTAGTGGTTGTTGTATCAGCAGTAGTAGTAACAGTAGTAGTAGTGATAGTGGTTGTAGTATCATCAGAAGAAGTATTAATAGTAGTAGTAATGATAGTGGTTGTAGTATCATCAGTAGTAGTAATAGTATTAGTAGTGATAGTGGTTGTAGTATCAGCAGTAGTAGTAATAGTATTAGTAGTGATAGTGGTTGTAGTATCAGCAGTAGTAGTAATAGTATTAGTAGTGATAGTGGTTGTAGTATCAGCACTAGTAGTAACAGTAGTAGTAGTGATAGTGGTTGTAAATCATCATCAGTAGTAGTAATAGTAGTAGTTTTGATAGTGGTTGTAGTATCAGTAGTGCTTATTGTAATAGTAGCTATAGCAGTAGTAGTAGTGATAGTGGTTGTAGTATCAGTAGTAGAAATAGTAGTAGTAGTAGTGATAGTGGTTATAGTATCAGTAGTAGTAATAGTAGTAGTTATGATAGTCGTTGTAGTATTAGCAGTAGTAGTAAAAAAAGTAGTCGTAATAGTGATATTTGTTGTAGGATCAGTAGTAGTAATAGTAGTAGTAGTGATAGTAACTGTAGTATCAGTAATAGTAATATTAGTGATAGTAGTTGTTGTATCAGTATAAGTAGTAATTGTAGTAGTAGTGATGGTGGTAGTAGTGGTAATACTAGCAGTAGAAGTGATACTGGTTGTAGTATCAGCAGTAGTAGTAATAGTAGTAGTAGTAGTAGTGATAGTGGTTGTAGTATCGGTAGTAGTAATAGTAGTAGTAGTGATAGTTGTTGTAGCATCGGTAGTAGTAGTAGTAATAGAAGTAGTGGTGATATTTCTTGTATCAATAGTAGTAATAGTAGTAGCAGGGATAGTGGTTGTAGTAGTGGTAGTAGTAGTAGTAGTAGTAGTAGTAGTAGTAGTAGTTGTGTCAAGTAGTTGTATATATCTTCATTAGTTGTAGTACAAAATGTATATGCTTGGTTTAAGAGTCCAAGCGGTTGGTCCAATTTTATTGAAGGGTGAACAGGTTAGTTTATTCCTGTCCCTTTGTCACCAACTCTCCAGCATGTCAATACAATAGCTTTCAGCTTCCTAGCTGATTAACATTATCTAACTACAGCTTTCCTCCCTAACATTTGCACACTTTTTATTCACTCTGCTTATAACTCTGCACAGACAGGACATGGACTACTTCAGGTTAGTTATTTACATTATCTTTCCTAAATAGTATTCTAACTTATCATTTAAATATGTTATCAATAATGTAAAATATTGTAAATGCTTACCTATGATATCAAGTAATCAATCTATCTTCTATCTTATCAGCGTAAAGTGTTTAACATGTAAGCATGTGTGAGAGCATGATTTGATTGGGAGTTT